TAACGCTGCTGACCTTCACAAACGTGAACGGGCACTCGTTTGAGGCTGAGTTGACTTCGTCAAGCCTCAGCAAGGGTTCAGACAACAACCGCCGATGTCATGCATGGCCGGGAATCAGACTCACATCATTGCTCGTGGTTAGATGCTCGTCTGCGGCTGTCTGGTACGTTCCCCCTTCCAATATTAGAAAGCCACTGGAGGTATGCACTTTAAAATCATCTCAAATGAAAGCTAATTTCTCTGGAACTGCTTTTTTGTGTTTAGTTTGTTGTCCTTCCCCCGCACCTCCGATCAGCGCGGTTTGGCTGCGAAGTTTAACATCCATACATTTATATTAGTCTACACGTGACACTGTACCACCACTCTCTACATGCACACAAGGGGGGGAATGGAAGTGGAAATCTTTAAAGTGTTCGTGAACTCCACCATTGTGCCCAATATTTATTGTAAGCCAGTGTAAATATTGTTTTTGTAACTAAAATTACACTATTGGCTAGTATGTCCAGACAAATACAAAATAAAAAGCTAATTTGTAAGATCAGGGCAGACAGAAGGTTTGTTTGCACACAAAATCAAATTTATGATACCCGCAGAGGCCTCGGTTAAATAAATTGACAATAAAACCACAATACCGACAGCAAACCAAACAATAAGGGACAGCTGACATGACAATAGCACGTCTAGACCAGCAGCTGTTTCAGCAGAATACAATTAATAAAGGCGATCTGCTCATATAACTACAGCTTACAGGAGTATGTGTAAATATTACCACTAGCCCCATATGTAATAGTACACCTGGATTATCCCTGTAGCAAAATGACCATCAGTTTTTGATATGGTTGATAACACATGCCACTCAAGGTGATCTCTATAGAATTGGTGTCAATTCTCTCCCCTCGAATCAAAAGATAATATTGGGGGAGCTAATACTCCTGTAGATGTATGTGGGACTTCTTTCACACCGTACATGCGGTTGCATGCGTGGTGTTGGCCAACCATACCCTCGTGTGCCAAGCTGGCCTTCACATGTGATACTCGCTAACCGCACTATTCTTACAGGCTATATGGGGGATCTTTGTCTTTGTTACCAATGGAGGCGGTCCGAGTTCGATTCCGGCTGACGGCCAACACCAGTGACAATTATCTGAACCAGTCCTGGGCCTCCCCTAGGTCCAATATATGTGTTATGAACAATATGATACAATTAATGTACAGTGTTTACTAAATATCGTGTGAAATTTGTCAAATCGAAACTTCACGTTTTTCCCATGTGTTGGCCAAAACGTCAGTTATTTTTTTGTCATATTTTGAACGACTCAATGTAACTAATAAACAATTCCTGTCAACTAGCTAAAGCGAAATTAATCTAAATATGAAAAGGACATGCCTTTTCATAAAAAAAACAATCTTTACTTTGTTCTTGAGATTGTCCAAGACACGTTGACATTTTCACGACCTTTAAACACTGTCCTGTTGTTGTTCATCCTAAATGTTAATCAGAGGAAAGAAACCGGCGAATAAAGTTAGCACAATGCTGCAAAAAATATATATTGTCGAGGCATTAATGAGTAGCGATTACTAGTAGATAGTCACGTGTTGTGGGGTAAAGTGTGGGTACACCCAACTCTTCCAGGACGCCTGGTCGACGTGGAAGAGTAGGCCATCGTCTCTGGAGCTGTCGGGCCTCTACAGAGCTCCCTTGAAGTGAGGCCCTTCTGTCAGCAGTGGCGCGAGCAAGACATTGCAGGGCCCGTACCTTTACCTTTACCACCGTTTATAATCATTGGCAGGCAGAGAAACAACGATCACAGCTGCACGCACACCGATACTACTGCTGTACAAACTGCACAGGTGTCAGCAGTTAAAGTTGACTTATATAATGAAAGTAATCGTTATTCATTGCTATTTATTTTATTTTCAGTGACTTTCTTGCCATTGTCTCTCTTATACACTCCATAATTGTGTTGTTGTTGTACTGCTTTATAGCTCATCGGATTCCTCCTCCGGGCCAAATCAAAGATTCCGATTCTGATCCATCGTGGGGGAATTCTTCCTCCTACCCGCCCGTCGCTCACCTCTCCAGGGCCAGGAGCCGATTCCTCGATGCCCGCATCGCGCGCATTGCACTCACGCGGACTTCTAACGAAGATAGAGAGTGGGGGGCGAGGAGGATGGGGGGCGATGTGGAAGAGCCATCAAAGGAAGTCCCATTGAGGCAATAGGGGGCGGGGTGAGTGGGGGACGCTCTCTGGCTGCTCTTCCACAGTGCTTAGCCGCTGAGTGGGCCGGGGGACCCAGGCGAGAACGACCAAAACCTCAACGGCTAAAGGGTCTCTCCCTCTGTCACTCACTCCCCGTGCCTCTTTCACTTCCTCCCTCTCTCACTCCCTCCCTCCCTCGCTCTCTCTCTCACTCGCTCCCTCCCTCTCTCACTCCCTTCCCCGTGCCTCTCGCAGCCTCCGCTTATCCGCAGAACAAACACACATTAGCTCCCCGCGCCTACAAACACCGCGCAGTGTTCATTGCGCCCGACAGAGAGGGGCGGTAGGGATGGGAGGGTCAAGGGTCAGTCGCTTACAGCGCAGTCACTGGAAGTGCTGTTACAGCCGCGGCAGCAGCAGAAGCGCTCGGCTCCAGCCTAAACAATCAGTCTCCCCGCGGAGATGGCAGCAGCAGCAGCGGCGGTGCTTTGGGGGCCGTGGCTGATGAAAGAAGAGCTGCAGATTGAGGTATTGAAGAGGCTGCCTTCCTGTGGTTATGTAGGCTCTAGAATTTGCACAAGAAGCACTCTATCACCTTTGAAGTTTACGTGCCTTTTTTTTTCTCTCTCTCTCCCCATGTTCAGACGTTGTCTTTCCGACAGACCTGTTCTTCACCTGAGGACGGCTGCTTGCGTTGTGGCCGAAACGTCGTGAGAATTATTTTATTGTTTAATTTTTATTATTTTCTAATTTCCCTTCTACGTGACTTTACCGAAAGAACCAAGAAGATGAATCCCTGCAGTCACGAGAGCTTTAAATCGAAATCTCCCCATGTTGTTACAAATTGTTGAGTGTGTAAGGAGGCCGAATAGTCTAGCGGCCGGTGCGTTCTCCACGTTACCTATCCAGTTGGGATCCATGCAGCGGCCTGGTGAACGCTTTGCAAGGATTTGGGGGGGAGAGGGGGGGATGTGCCATCTGCTTTCGCTCGGACAATTTCAAAAGAGGCAACTGGTTACTATAACCAGCTGCCACTTAATTATGACCACTGACTGGGTGACACTGAGAGAACACGTGACTCACAAACGGAAGGTCATTTATCGTCTTTTATAACTCGGATACCTGAGTCGCCAGCTCTCGGACGAAGAGGCTTCTCCATGCCGCGTCTCTTGGAACTGCAAAGTAAATTCCAAATCTGCCGGTTGCTTATCGTCCCGGCCCCTCCCACAACAACATGGTATTTCCACCACCGGCTAAGGAATGGCAGCGGATATAGCTGCTGCCCAATGCTCATTTGAACACGGGGGACAATGATTGGATGATGAATAAGTAGGCCACCTGAGTGTGAGCGGTGCATTCCCCACGTCAGATACATTTCACCGACCAGCGTATCTTCCAAACAGTAGCGCATCCTAGAAACTCGATGCTCCATCATCACTTGCAACCGATGTCCTCAGGGTGCCGGCAGCACCAAGGCAGGCGCAGGTGTAAGCTTGAGTGGACGTCCACTCGTGTGCTGGGTGAGAGACGGTGGCTTGGGAAGGCCATCTAGCAGTGGATAAATCATGGCTGATGTGGATTAAACAGTAACATCGGGGGCAGTGATGTCACCACAATGTCCGTGTTAGGCTCAAGGCACTTTGAGACAATGTGTTGAGCCAGTGGTGATTGGAGAGCCCATGTGTTATGAATTAAGAGGCCGGAGTGAATAGCTGATGGGCCACCTACGCTGCCTACTGTTCCAACTTGCAGCGTTTGTTTTTGTCGCCTGATGCTCTGTTGATTGCTATCAGCATTGTTAATCTGCCTTACATTGTCAGCCCACGGGCCAGAGCATAAATTGGTCCCACTTGAAGTTGCAAACCATGCGTACAGTCTTACCAATTTATTTACGTGGCGAAAAAGAGTTAATGCATTATAACCCACTCAATTAAATGATGGTCACATTATTGTTGTTGGCCACATTAAGACATTGGGAGCGCTGAAGTTACGCCATCTCGGGTGGTACTGACAAGTGAAATATCTGGCCCAGGCTCATGAACTATGTTGCACGAGGATGGCTGCTGCCAGCGACCCAGTAGCCTCTTCAACAGCCACTGCAAGCACTACTCCCATTGGCAAGTACTATACACCCAAGTACAGGTCCTCCTGTACCCACCACATCTACCCCCATTCGTCTCTTGCCTTTCTGCTCCCATTAGCCCCGTGTATATCCAGCCAAACAATAGCTGCGTTGGCATGCGGATGGCTGAGAATGTGTGCTATGTGACCAAGCCAACACAGCCCTCACCTGCCAGGAGGGCCTCTCTGTTTGGACTTTGTTGAGATTTTTATTTATTTTGTCAGAGCATCTCACACAAAATCCAATATGGGTAAAACCAGCATTGAAAAATGGCAGGCCAGTTTGAGAGTTAAGCTGGCAGATGGGTTTCTTTGAGTGCTCCCCGTGTGTCGTCAAGTCAACATCAGCCGCTGCGCGCTACTAAGTGGAGATGGCGTCACCTCAGAGCTTGTGCCAGGCTGGGTGCATTTTGGGGCTATCACATGAAGTGTCAAGGGCTCGCTGACAAGTCGTGGGATAGATCCAGGTGAAATGGGTTAATTGAGACTACCCTAAATAAACAAAGACAAAGACCCCCGTATAACCTAAACAGGCTTTTGGGGCAAGTGCTGTTGGCGAGCACCTATGAAGGCTGGCACAGCACACGAGGGGGATGTGTGTGACCCACATCACACCCGGTCGCCTTTGTCTCCCGAGTGGCGATGTTTACACACCGCACCAGGTACTCATTTGAGGATGAGATAAACAACACACACACACACAAACACTTCTTTAGCTGTTCAACAGGGAAAATATATTTTAAAATGACAGCAGAAACCAAACAGTTTTATGTACATAAAAGAGAGTGCTCTGTACCAATTATGCCAATGGGATGTAAAAAGGCATAATGCTGGAAATTCTCCATGCTTCGTAATACCCTGGTTTTAAGGACAATATAGTTTCTCGTTACTATAAATCCCATTGATCTAAGTAGACCTATATTAGTGTGCAACATCATAAAAAAACATCTAACAATAATAAAATCACAACAACAATAATGAAAGCTAGACACACAGGTCGGTGTAAAATATGGACACACTACACAAGTCCCATGCAGACTCTGTACACATTTACACAAGACACCGATAACACACCCGGCAAAGAGTGTGCGTCGGCAATTTAATTTAACAAATCTTCACCGACATCGTTCCGTTTCCTTCACTCCTTCGCAAGCGTCATCAGTGGCGCACATTGGCGATTCCCTCCCTTTTTGAAAAATGACCAACGGGCAAGTTCCCGCATGGGGGGATGCTGTTGGGATGACGCGTCGTCGCGCTTCACGTTCGTTGGTTTCTGTCGTCGGCAGAGAGAGTTCGATATTCTTGAACTAAGTAGCTTCACTATCAAAGCGTGCTGTAAGTTTAAGCTCACTGCAGCGATAACCACATAGCGAGACAGAAAACAGTTTTGGGGGAAAAAAAAAAGCGTTTCATGAGTCTAGACATCTTCTCATTGTCGTTGGTTTATACCGTTGCCTTGAACCTCGACGGACACCCTGAACGCATCTCTGCGATCTTGCGAGTAAACGTATCACAAGGAGGTCGTTGTGCTTTTCCGCATAAAGAAAGTCTGAGTGCTCTTCAACGTCTCCAAAAACAATTGCACCGTTCCTTAAAAATCCTCTTCCCACGCTCTCGTCTCGTTAACTCTGCAAAAAGAAGATCCGCGGTCACACAAACGCCATCTTCTCGGTGGCGCTGCTCGATCCCCATCGTCCCAGTGACCACGACGACTTCTGCCGCTCTTCCAGCCCCTCGAGCTTCTCTCCTCCTCCCCCTCCTCCCCCCCCTCCTCCCCCTCCTCCACCGCCGCCGCCCGCGCACCCCGGGCCCCAGCGCACGATCGACCACGCCTTGGGCTTCCTGGGCGCCTCCGCACACGCCACGCAGCAGCAGCAGCACGGCTGGCCCGCGTCGCCCGCCGACTTGGGGCCTCCGTCCGTCGAGGATGACGACGACGACGACGACGACGGGCACGCGCGTCCCGGCAGCGGGCCGTGGAAGCCGTAGTGGAGTCGCGCCAGCATCTGCCGGTGGCGGTGCCGCGACTCGCTCCGCAGCATGCGCAGCGCCAGCGCCACGAGCAAGCGCCAGCACGACGGCGCCGGCGATGGGCACGGCGATGACGGCCGCGCGGAACCACAGCTCTTGTGAGGCGGCCGCCGCGGCCGCCGATGCGGAGGCGGAGCGCCACACGGCGGGACGTCCCGCGCCGTCCGTGCCGGGCCCGCCACCGCTCACGGGGTCTGCGGCACGACACAGGATGACGAAGGGATGGTGAGCGTCGGTGCGTGTGGTCGGCAATGTCGCGCACGGCACGCGTGCGACGGTTGTGTTTACGTAAAAAAAAAATAGCCAGGTACCATGCCGTAAGCCCCGCGGAGAGCAAGCGCTATTCCTTTTTCACATCTGTCAACTTTCAATTAGTTTAATTAGCGATTTAGTGCGATTTTTGTGCGCTTTACATTTATTTATTCATTACGCGTGCACGCCCATACCAACTCACGCGCCTTTGGTGGGGGGGACGGCCCATGCCAAGTCGCATGCCTTCGGTGGGAGTGAGGGGGACATTTTCTTTCGCGTACATTTTTTATAAAAAATACACTAAACGCTGGCGTTAATTCTTCACTGTGTGATGTCCCCTCCACCCCGATGCGTGCAGTTATTACTAGTATACAGTCGCTAGATACTACCACTATAGGCCGTAAATATTACTGCAGAGCGGCCAGGAAAATCGTGGCTGGGGGGGGGGGGGGGGTCAGGGGTAGCAGCCCAGCCCCAGCCTGCCAAGGTGCCACCTCGGGCGGCTGGATAATCTATGCGAGGCCAGAGGCTCTGCACAGGACTAGGCCTCACCACGCCACTCTGTCAGGTGAGTGCTTTGTGCTATAGAGTCGATAAATACTGCTATAGGGTCAGCATGTACTACTGTAGTGATAGCAGGTACCACCACAGTCGGTATGCACTGCTGTAATCATAGCAGGCACCACCACAGTCAGTACGCACTGCTGTTAGATTTTAAAGAGTAGTTTTAAAATATTTTTTTGGCCTGGGCAACGCTGGGTATATAAGCTAGTCTTATATAAATGTGCATCAACGACATGTCAATACCCAACACCCTTTGATTTAAGCACCCCTTTCTTTAGGCAAAGGGTGAGCATGACGACCTAGCGGCCAATAACGCTGCCAATAAAAATTACATTCACGCCACTTCGGACGCTGTCGCCAACGTAGACACCATCGAAGTTTTCACAACGACAACACCTTTGCCGACCGCCGCAAACGATAACTATGAAAACGATGACCAAAGACCCCCCACCTGCTGTGTCTCCCCGGGGCGGCCGCAGCAGGTCGTGCAGCGCGTTGTAGTTGCACATGTCGTCCTGGCAGCAGCGCACGACCGGCCAGCGGCCCGTGTGGTTGCGGGGACGCGGCGCGTGACACGGGTGCGGCGGCGAGGGCGACAGGGCCTCGATGCAGCCGTGCGCGAGCGGCGAGCGTGGGTCCGTGGGCTCCAGCACGCGGCGGAAGCACACGGACATCTCCGACTTGCACATGTAGCCCGTGGGCACGCAGTGCGCCGCATCGCAGTAGCAGCGGATCTCGCCTGCGTGGGGGGAAGGGGCAAGAAGACACGGAGAGAGGGAGAGAGGAGACGCCGTTAAAGCCAACGTCGCGACGGCTTCCTGACCGCCCAAACGCGCGATGGGGCAGCACTGGTCATCGTGAGCTGATGGGCGCAAGTCTCTCGATAAGGTGACCAGTGTTGACTTCCTGCAGAGATGTTTTCATTTTAGCGATGCGAGAGGAATGAGAGGTCGAGTCGTCGAGCTCTCAACTGGGATTGAACTTGATAACGTCAGAATGCCAGCATAGTGCTCTGACCACCCTGGCCATCTTAGCCAGTGTCACCCAACTGCTGGAGGTGTCGGCTCCTGAAACGCGCTGCAATTCATACCGATGCCACGTGGGTATCAGCCGCACTTCACAAGGTCCCACTAACGGTGGGACACTAATCCAAACGATCGCCAGGGGTAACGTTCATCTAAAACGACAGCCTTCATTGTGCGAAGCAGTCAATAATAGAACTGGCCACAAATCCCGATGCAGGACCTTGAAAAAATATATATATTGAGACTCAATGAGGCTCTCCTAGAAAACGAACGTTGTAATTACATGGATAAGCATAGATTACATCGTGATGTGATTATTGGTAGCTTGAGCTCACACTGGGTGAACAACAACAAGCTGAGTTCAAGCCTAATATTTCAGTCGTGCTCACCAAATGCTCTGACATTGATTTCTGAACAAGCCGGGCACTCTCCAATGTTACCTCACAATCACCTAAGTTTAAGGGTGGCTGAAGACGCTCGTTTTCCGACGGTATAAAACACGCCGCTGCATAACGATTGGATTTTGAACAACGCAGCAGGGGACGAGCATAGCGGCACTTTAGGCCTGATAAGAAGACCGCAACACGTTGGAACAAACGAACCAGCAAGGGCACTTTTAAGTCAAAGCCCGTTTGAAAACGGTTGAGCTAGAAATACATAGGCCTAATAAGACTGGGCACTCTCAGTATTTGTTTGCAGTGAAGCCCATGTGTGTGTATATACATCTATCCAGGGAATTTCATCACCTATTCTACCGTTAAGAAAACATCCATCGTGAATATCCACAGGAATAACATTGACAACATTAATGCGCCGTCTCTGGAGACATTTGAAAGCCGAAGCCATTATCCATAGGTTCGGTGTTTTTTGGTTCAAGAGTGATTTTTTTTTCCACCACCCAAAAGGTACAAAAAAAATAAACTTTTAAGCCGTGGCACAATTCACGCAATTGGCACGCACGCACACATGCACGCACGCACACACACGTGCGCACACAGCAGGCACGCGAGCGAGCAAACTGTGGATTGTTTCCAAGACATAAACCCGGTTAGTTGTGTCACTGCCCAGGAAGTAGGTGAATTACATCCAATGGTAATGAACACAAGTAATGGTCTGGAGGAAGAGGTACCGCTATGGATTCTATTTACGGTCTCATGCACCTATTCTACCGTTAAGAAAACATCCATCGTGAATATCCACAGGAATAACATTGACAACATTAATGCGCCGTCTCTGGAGACATTTGAAAGCCGAAGCCATTATCCATAGGTTCGGTGTTTTTTGGTTCAAGAGTGATTTTTTTTTCCACCACCCAAAAGGTACAAAAAAAATAAACTTTTAAGCCGTGGCACAATTCACGCAATTGGCACGCACGCACACATGCACGCACGCACACACACGTGCGCACACAGCAGGCACGCGAGCGAGCAAACTGTGGATTGTTTCCAAGACATAAACCCGGTTAGTTGTGTCACTGCCCAGGAAGTAGGTGAATTACATCCAATGGTAATGAACACAAGTAATGGTCTGGAGGAAGAGGTACCGCTATGGATTCTATTTACGGTCTCATGCAAGAACCGCGGCTTAATGAGGTGAGACCACTCTGGTCTTTCCGGTGCCCGCAGCTTTGTGAGCTACAAACAAGAAGGGGGAAGCCCACGCCACATATTGGGCTTATCAAGTGTTATAACGTCACTATAGCAGGCTGAGAGATCCATGGGATTTATGATCGCTTGTAAAAAGTATGTACTCAGAGAGAACTCAATTTTTTTACAACTGCAGATTATTCAGATTGTTCGACTCAGCCCATCATATCTGCAGAGCCAGTGGCATGACTACCGCTTTCTGGAATGGATCTGCCCGTCGTGCAGAAACCGACCGAAGGCTGTCTAAGGACAAACATAGAGAGGTGGTGGCCATAGGAAGAGCTGAGCAACAACCCAATACCCGCTTTGAGCATGGAGGCACTTTGAATAAGATTCTTTAAAATACTGGTCGTGGGCAATGGTTCGAGCACAGTGGCTACAACGCGACTTACTCTTAGGAATAACGGCAAAGTTGATAGTATCTACCCTGCAGCGGATGATGGCACATTTCGGTGCGGAAATTAAAGCAGCAGATGGGGGAAATGGAAGTGCTGATGTGCTTACGAACTGGTGAGTGCATTGATCGCGAGGCTACGGAGCTGTCGGTGTGAACCTGCATGAAGAGCGTTGGGTACAATGGTTCACAGCGGTGGCCTTCACCGACGTCAAAGTCGATATGATTTCACTGCAGTTGAAAATGTTTGTAGTCGTACATAAAATAAACGTGGCATGCCGAGCCACGGCTTTAACAAAACCAAAAAACTCACAACACGAAGTCAAACTCACTTGTTATCTGAGGGCATGTGCGGAGCGCAAGGTCGAAACGTTATCCTGGTAAAGAAATTAACACTTACTGTACTCCTTTTGTGTGTCCGGTAAAGTGTAAATAGCCACGCATAATATGACACTTTTTCCCACCACTTCCGGGTAATTCTGCTTCACCAATCATGAGCTTAGATAACAGGAGGAGCCAACTCAACTTGTGGATATCGGGAGTTGCTGTGGATCGGAACAGGTAGGAGGCGTTTCATTGTTTCTTTTGAAGGTAAATTTTCCACTTCAGTGCACAGGACTGTACTTTACGATAACCATTTTTAGGCACAGTTAAAGTTTTGTGATTCCACGCTCATGTGATGACGGGGCATTGCTCATCTCCACTGGCAGCCTTGTGCCAGTGGCGGAAAGTCCATACTGGCATGATGGGGGCTGTTCTCTTCACAAGAGAGAGCACCATTGACTTCCCACAAAGTGGTACCTATTTTATCATCCGCAGAACGATGATGGGCTGAGCTGATCCGATAGGTATTTGCTCTCACAAATATACATCTAAAATTAAGTTGATTAATATTGGAATACGAGTCACTGAAAATGGCCTTTGTCTATTTTGTGATTATAGAATTACACTCCACATGAGGCTAATTACTTATCTTACAGATGACAACGATGATATTTGCCATTGTTTAGTATGAGACTGAAAGCACTTTGGAAATTGAGGCTGATCTTAGCTAATGAGGAAAACCAATCAACAACCAGGCCGTTTTTTAGGGATCCAAAATCAAACATTCTGGTAAAATATCAGTTTTCAAGCCCTTCCAAAACATCACTCGGTTGTCAGTCTCCATGTATCAGATGTGACATTTGCATACACAGACCATTATTCACCATCACAAAATGCGTCGCAGTTAACTAAACGGTGCAAATGTCGTCTAGTGGAAGGCCTTCACCTGGCAGCAGCCATAGACTGACATTGCATCGGACCATTGCGTACGATAAAGGGGGGCCACTAACACACGGGCGTGACGGCGAGCAACGAGCAGTGTCAACTTTTACCGTCGTCGTAAATGGGCGGCCTTCTCCCACAACGCTCTCAAGCCCGAGGTCGTCGTTTGTCACGTAAAGCCCTCCGCAGGGTCACGGGCACGAGCACAGGAAATGACGAGCGGCCACTTTTCGGACGACCCCAAACAAAACAAAAAAGCCCAATACAGTTAAGAGCACCAATTGAGCCGCGTGATCTTCTAATAAGGGGGAGTGGTAGTGCAGTGGTTAGCACACCATGTACGTGTGTATGTTGAACTTCTTTCGCACCGTACGTAGCCAACCGTGCTGACTGGAGGTGCGAGGGAAGGACAACAAACTAAGCACAGAAAGCAGTTTCAAAGAAATGAGTTTTCAATCACTATGGTATGGACTCTGTAACCTGAGTTCACATTCAAGCCATGGCTAACATCAATGGCTTTGTTGTATATATTTTTTTAAAGATAGTACATGTCATGTGGGTGGAGTGATGATGCAGTCGTTATCGCACTGCGCTATGAACCTGTCAACCCGAGTTCCATTTCCCGGCCACGGCTAATATCAGTGCTGAGTGATATCTGAACGGGTCACGGGTGCCTGTTCCCCAAGCAGCAGTGAGTAGCGTGGTGAAGTATGGTCCAACAACCGCTATGGCTGACGTGATGCGAAGAGGCATTAATGTAGCGATGGAATTAAACAGAGGCTATACAATCTGTGCGCAAATGTAAAGTGGCAAGAACATTCGCCGTGTTTCTTTATGGGCGCCGTTGTGTGCCACTCTTGCAAACGAGACTGCAGTGTACTCGTCTGAGTTCTTACCTGGTTAAGCAAATCAACTTTTACTAGCCTATTGTAAAGTGTTTGCTTGCACTGTGCTGTATAACAGTGGATAGACAATAAGGCATTTGGCCAGGCAACACTCGTTAGGGTACTCAACACACACTCAACATAATGTCGAGTTAAAGTCGTTCAAATCTCCCTTGAAGGTCAACTCAGCCCATCATCCTTATGGAGGAATAAAATTTGTACCACTTTGTTGAAAATCAACGGTGGTAAACATAGACTGATCCTTGTCACGGTAATATGATCTTTCTACCACTATCCAACGCCGCACACAGAGTTGCTGTAACCTCCATTCCACGGACAATTTAAGTCGGGAGACACCTGTGCTTAAGACATTCTTTTAAATTAAACTTGTTGATGAAAGGTCAATATTTAATACGAACTTAAACACACTATCGGCAACCACGATGAGTTTCAGAGTTTAGCAGCGTGCAAAAAAGAAGGAAGAGGCATAAGGCAGCGTTCTTCACTCGTTTTCAGAGGGGCGC